TTTTTAAAAAAAGAGTCTTGCTAAACTTCTTGTCCATGACTGCAGGCTCACTGAAATTTAACCTTGGAACCCACCATGACATGATGAACCCTACATCTGAATTAAACATATGCTGGCCTGGTGGAACTACAACTCCCACAATTCCCAGACAGCATGACCAAAAGTGGGATGTTACCTGTGGCTCATGCCTAGGCTTTGAAAGTGTATTATTATTATTATTCTCTTTTATTCATTAAAAATGAAACTCAGTCAACTGGACATTTAAAAATGTGTCACAAATACCATTGATTGGTGCTAATGGTTGATATGGGTTGCTGCCAGCGTCCTAAGTATCAACCGAGTACCTTCTTAAAATATATGATGTTCCAAGTAGCGCAGTTTTTTGCAGTTCCGCTGGTGTTATTGCAGAAAGCTGTTTTGTGAAATTCTTGGACATGGTACCAGGGGTGAAATCTAAAATTTGTTACTACCAGTTATGTGGGTGTGGCTTGGTGGGGGGGTTTAATGTGATTGGATGGGTGTGGCCAACTTTTTTTTTTTTTTTTACTTTTATAAGCATTTTTTCTACAACCTCTTTAGCTGAAGAGGTTGCAGGAAAAAAATGCTTTTAAAAGCCTCTGACGATCAGGCAACTCAGCTGGGATCGTCAGAAGCTTTTAAAGGCATTTTTTTTCCTACAACCTCTTCGGCCGAAGAGAAAAAAAGAAAAAAAGTAGAAAAAAATGCTTTTAGAAGGCGGGTGGTTCGGAGAACTGGTAGCAAAAATCCCTGCGCCCCTCCCCCCCAATGCCCAGCTGAGCTGCGCAATCATCAGAGGCTTTTTTTTAACTTTTAAAAGCATTTTTTCGGCTGAAGAGGTTGTAAAAAAATTTATTTATTTTATTTATTATATTTCTATACCGCCTTTCTCTCGTAGGACTCAAGGCGGTGAAAAAATGCTTTTAAAAGTAAAAAAAAAAACAGCCTCTGATGATACCAGTTCTCCGAACAACTCGCCGCCTTCGCTACCGGATCGGGCGATCCTGTCCGAACCGGGAGCATTTCACCCCTGCATGGTACCAAGTGCCCCGATGACAATGGGTATCACTGTGACATGTTTCATCCATTGCCATGTATTTTTTATGGCCAGGTCGCGATATTTCATGATTTTTTCCAGTTCTTTTTCTTTGACTCTGGCGTCTCCTGGTAATTATTATTATTTTTTATTTATTCATTTATTTATTTAGTCATTTATTCATTCATTAAACATGAAACTCAGTCAACTGAACATTCAAAAATGCATCACAAATACCATTGACTGATGCTAATGGTACGGGTTGCTGCCAGCATCCTAGGTTGTTGTTGTCGTCATCATCATCATCATCATCATCATCATCATCATCATCATCATCATCATCATTTAGTGTTAAACTAGACTAATCAGAGGAAATCACTCTCTCCCAGTTTGCTGTAATGGTGATGGTGCTGGCCTGGAAACCAGGAGACTGTGAGTTCTGGTTCCACCTTAGGTATGAAAGTCAGCTTGGTGACTTTGGGCCAGTCATTCTCTCTCAGCCCAATCCATCTGGCAGTGTTGTTGTTGTGGGGAAAATAAAGAAGGAAGAGGTATTAGGTGTATTCGCTGCCTTGAATTATAAAGTAATAAAGACGGATTTTTAAAAAAAATCTAACAAACAAAAGGATATGTGTAACAACGTTCAAGGATTCAGGCTTTTTAGTTAAAGGCAGGCAGGCTGGCCATTGCCAAAGGAAGAGATGGAAGGCACATTAGCACATGATGTTTCTTTTTTTTAAAGAGGTTATTGGAATGACACTGAAATATCTGCTTGGATCATTCAGGGCTCCCCTGTTGGAATTGGGTTGAAGTTCTCTTTCATTACTCCCCACTCCACCACCACCCCTGGAATTCCACCAATAAAAGTTAGCATCTTGTCCTGTCTTCTCCGATTGCATCTTGACCCCAAAAAAACTGGTTTTTATAGACTTTTGGCTGTCAGACACAAAACTTTTGTTTCCTGTCAAGGAGCCAAGGGAATTATGGAATTTCTCCCCTTTCAAAGCCTCTGATTATGCTTGTCTGTTTTTCTTTCGCTGTAAATTGTCTTTCTCAGGCCCAAACATTCAGAGTGTGGAAATTTTTAGGCCTAGCCAAGTAAGATGAGCCTAATCTCACCCCAAACTAGGCACAGGGAGAGGAGGAGAGATGAATGGAAAGGAAGGCAGGGTTATTAAAGTAAATCCCAGATACTTGCAGGGCATCCAGGCGCTCCTTTTATTTGGGGGTGTGGGAGCGGAAAACAGCCATTTTGTCTTTTCAGTGCCATGAGTCTTCTTCATATATTTAGGCTGAGAACAACTACAGCAGGATTAGTGAATTCCAGATGTTTTTTAAATCCCAGATTCCTTAAAGCCAAGATTGCCCAGGCCACAGGGAGACATGGAGCTTGATTGGTTTTTCCCAACTAGTTTTCACTAGGCAGATTGGAGGGATTCCTGGGCTGGCCGGGAACTGGAGAGTTGCAGTCCCAGTGCCTTGGAGGGGGTCAGGTTGGGATAGGCTGAACTAGAGAAATATCCCTTTGCCTTACTCTGGGCTGCTTCTTGACCTCAGAAGCACCATTGTCTGCCCTTAGATTAATTGCTTTGATGTTTTTGAGTCAATGTTGATCCTGGAGACTGTCTGAACAGGTCCTTGCACTTTTCTTGGCAAGGTGATCAGAAATGGCTTGGTTTTATCTCTTTCCTTGGGATGAAACAGGGACTGGCCCAAGGTCACACAACTGGCTTTGTGCCTAAGGTGGGACTAGAATTCACAGTTCTAGCCTGGTGCCTTAACCACTACACCAGACTGACTCTTTCCTTAAATTAATACGGGCGGGGAAGGATTTGAAGAAGATAGCCAATGCATCTCTGCATGGGTGTAGAATTCCTACATAGTCTACTTCTGCTCTTCGGCAAGCCAAACCAGGCATGGTAATCAGCATGTTTCAGACCCTAAATACTTAAATTATATGGACTGAGAAGAACAAGGATGGTCAATTTTTGGAACTTCCAACACATAGACCACATTTTTGGATCCTTTCTTCTGCTCCTATATATCTCTTTGAAGGTATTATTTTTTCAGCCTGGGATTGTGTTAAACAAAACTTATCCAAGCTAAGAGAAAATGAATGTTTGAGCGCTCTAAGGAACCACAGCACACCAGGACATCAACTCCTTGACCCTACAAAATTGGTTGGCTAAAATCAGATTTCCTTGTTTTCTATAGAATTGGGACAGAGCCAGACCTGGTGGCAGAATACAAAGGGGGGGGAGGAGGGAGGGAGGGAGGAGAATGAGAATCTGGTTTGACCCATAGCACTCTGGAATGGAATGCTGTATAGTAAAACTGTCATCAAGATGTCTGAGAAGCAGGCTGAGTTTTTTAATTCAACACTGAAGAGAAAGGAACGGCATGTTACAAAAAGAATGCCAGTCGAAGAGGTCTTGAGGAGAAACACAAAACTTCCATTGTCCAATGTAAATATGATACAAAGCATTGAATTGCACTCTGGATTTTTTAAACATAACATATTCACAGTTGGGTGAAAAGGAAGCTCACGTCGTCCTTTTTGAGCCAATAGTTTTGAGGGTATACCGAAGGCGACCTCATAAATTAGAGCCATAGAAAGAGTTTGCTCATTTGCAAAATGGCTAACCAGGGTTGGGATACGGCCATTTCCAGGAAGACAAGAGATGGATATGGGCCTTGCCATCTTGTCTAATGAATTGGTGATGTTCTTGATCATTCTTCGATGATTTTTTTCCCCTCAGGTGGGGCCCAAAAACATTCTGAAAAGCATCGTCAGTGCTAGCCTTCCTCAACTTGGTGTCCTCGTTCCCCTAACTATCCCAAGCCTCCATGCTAGTTTGTAATTCTAAAAACCAGAAGACCAAATTGGAAAAGCTTATTTTAAAAGTAGGGAATTGGCCTGCATGTTTTTCCTCCTAAGAGACTTTTTTTTTAAAAAAAAGTTGATAGAATAGAAAATAAAAGTGTATGTACTTAGGCTGATTACAATGGATATGGGATCTCAGAATGAGCTGCAGAGATGCTCTTCAAGAAGAGAAAGGTGGGAGTTTTTTTTCCCCCAGCATGCAAGGGCTGGGGATTGATTAAATTAGCAGGGCAACAGGAAAAGTTTCAGCCACAAGAGAACCTGGGTAATAGAATCTGGTTCTGAAAAAGTTATCTATCTAAAGACTACCTACAAGAACGCCTTCTGCCACCGGTAGCCTCTCACCGGCCAGTATGCTCCCACAGAGAGGGACTCCTCAGGGTGCCGTCGGTCAAACAGTGTCGACTGGCGGCCCCCAGGGAGAGAGCCTTCTCTGTGGGGGCATTTGGAATGAGCTCCCCCCGGAGATACGGAGGATCCCAGATTTACGCACTTTCCGCTGTGCCCTCAAGACCTTTTTATTCCAGCAGGCTGGGCTGGCCTAACTCCTTTTAAATTGTTTAATTTTAATTTGTTTTTAAAACCAGGGGTGTTTTAATCATTATGGGCCAAATTTATTTAATGTGTTTTAAATTGTTTTTTAAATTTTATATTATATTATATGTGTTTTATCTTTGGCTGTTCACCGCCCTGAGTCCTTCGGGAGTAGGGCGGTATATAAATCCAAAATAAACTAAACTTGTCCCTGTCAGATTAGGCAACACATGGTTAAATCAACAGACTGCTCTGGTATAAAGTAGCTTCCTAAATTCTTAAATTCCAACACTTGTACAATTTGGTTTTTTTCCCATGGTTTCCCGTGGCGTGATTGAAGCTGAGGCAATCTAATTAACCTGATACTGCACTCCCTCTTCACCAAAGCTTAATCTCAGTTTACCTTTTGATTGCCTTTCCTCTTTGCCCCAACAGCGTTTGCCATATTCCGGAACAAAAGCAACAGGAATCTATTGAGATCCCCAGCAAGGAATTCTCCCAGCTGCAATCATGTAAGCGGGCTTTTGCAGAGCCATTGTTGATTTGAAGCAATGTATCAGGGGCAGGTCTGGAAGCAACAGCTCACATACGTTGCCAATAAACCAGTAGACCACGGGTAAGCGATAAGCAATCAACCTATTGTCAGAGAGTTTGTTTATAATTCTGGTTTACAGCCATCTGGAAAGTTTTGAAATGACATGCTCATATTCATCTCTATTACATGTCTGTAACCCTCTCAGGAGCATCTATGAATCATTCTTTTTCCTCACTACAATTGTTTATTGATGTACACCCACCTCAGGTCGGGTGTGTGTGGAGAGATATAGCTGCTTCTTACTGGGCTAATTGGGTGGCAGTAAGAAAACTACTGAGACAAGAGGAAAATTGGTTCTTTTGCAGGCATTGCTTTGTTTAAGCATGTATGTATGTGTGTGTGTGTGTGTGTGTGTGTGTGTATACATACACACACACACACACATAATTTATATTTCGCTGATAAAGAAATTGGTACCATTTGGTATAAAATGGTTTGTTGTGAATGCGACTGCTTGAGGGCTCTTGGATTGGAGGTGAAAGGCGAAAGGGATGCAGTATGCTCCCTCCCACATGCTGGGGTAGACCAGGTGCCTCGATAGAAAAACACTATCTATCTATCTATCTATCTATCTGTCTGTCTGTCTGTCTGTCTGTCTGTATGTATGTATGTATGTATGTATGTATATCTGTCTTCTTAAGTTTTTGCGGGTGTGTATATGCAAAAAATTAAAATCTCGGGTGTTTTCCCGCGTCATGTTAAATAAGTTAGTTAAAATTTTATTTAACATGACGCGGGAAAACACCCGAGATTTTAATTTTTTGCATATATATGTTTTCTGGCTGGCTGCCAGAAAAGAAAAAAGCCCAGAATCGAGTGGATGTGATTTACTGAGCTAGGGCTGCAGAAAAACCTTGGTTACGTAGGAAAAACCTGGCTAGAGGAAAAACACACATAAATCCTACGAAGAAGTAAGAAAATAGATACTATACCTTTACAGGGAGGATACATGAGATGTGGGTGTGACTTACTGATGAAAGCTAACAAGCTGGAAATAGATCTATATAAGTCTCTCACCTAGCAGCCGGAACTTGGCTGGCTGCCAGAAAAGAAAAAAGCCCAGAATCGAGTGGATGTGATTCTACTGAGCTAGGGCTGCAGAAAAACCTTGGTTACGTAGGAAAAACCTGGCTAGAGGAAAACACACACACACACACACACACACACACACACACACACACACAATTATTTTATTTATTTATTATGCTTTAAATTCATCATTCTTACTTAAACTGGAAGTCAAAGTCACCAGAGAAGAAATCACCTGAAAGCTGATTGTGATAGAATCATAGACTAAGTCTGGGGAAGCCCCTCTTTAAATTCTTCACTGAGACAAAAATCTCATTGGAGGGCTTGGACTGGCTTAAACTACCTCACAGACAGGGGTGGGTGGGTTCTATTTATCTTTACTACCGGTTTGCAACGGGGCTGTGCGCGCACGCTTTGCTCATGCTCTGCTTTTGCGCAGAGGTTTCCTGATGACGTCGGGGTCGGTGGGTGGAGCCTCCCGCCGGTTTTACTACCAGTTCTATAGAACCGGTCTGAACTGGGGGCAACCCACCACTGCTCACAATGTTATTTTGTATAAAATAGGGAGAAGGAGCAAGAATGCAATTCACCATCTTACAGGCAATATATGTACTGGATGAATATACTGAATATATATGACAAATAAATATTATATATGATAAATAGCAACTGCATTCTGCATTTCCTTCCTTCTATCCACGTATCTAGCTTTTACTTTGTGGTAAAGGTTCACCCCCAGTCCCTAGCCCGCAGTCTTAATCCTAGTTGACTACTGGTATTTACTATGGTTTGTTGGCCATAGCTTGAAGAATAAGCTAGAATTGATGATATTTGCACATTACATCAAGGTTTACAAACTACAATAGGCTACATTCACACAAAACATTAAGCCAAAATCAATGAAGCCATGTTTTCACTGAATGTAGGATAGGTAACTCACTTTTGGAGTGAAGCCCAGAGAAAAATTTGAAAGGCAGGGGCGTATTCACAAAGTGGCTTCCTTGTTTGTTCATGAAACTAGTTACATAATACTCATTTACTTAGAGGCAGACCAATCCCTCGTGATGCCCTGAATTATCTCTGTAGGACTTTGAGGTCCCAATGCATTGCTGTAAGGAAATATGGTGCCAGAAGCTGGGGTCTTGCTTCACAGCCTGCCAGTCACAAGGGACTGTAGGATGGCAAAAAAGTCAAGATGGCCGCTTCAACCACATGATTGCACGTGATTGCAAAAGGACAGGCCTTCCATCACATGTTTTGGCTACTGTGATGACTTTTATGACCCCTCCCTGCAAACACCCCGTCACTTCCTGTTTATTTATTTTTATGTAAAAGTCAAGTACAAGAACAAGGTTACCAACAGAGCATCTGGGGGCAAATTAATGCCCAAGAACAAACTCTGAATATGACAATTGACACTGCCCCCATATGCATACAGGTAGTCCTCGGCTTACAACAGTTCATTTAGTGACCGTTCAAAGTTACAACGGCACTGAAAAAAAAATAACTTACAACGGTTTTTCACATTCACGATGGTTGCAGCATTCCCATGGTCACGTGATCAAAATTCAGATGCCTGGCAAGTGACTCATCTTTACGATGGTTTCAGTGATCCCCTTTTGCAACTTTCTGATAAGCAAACTCAATGGGGAAGCCAGATTCACTTAACAATTGTGTAACAATCGTGTAACTAATTTAACAATTGCAGCGATTGGCTTAACAATTCAAGGTCGTAAATGTCACTTAACAAATGTCTCACTCAGCAGCAGAAATTTTCTGCTCAGTTGTGGTCATAAGTCAAGGGCTACCTGTACAGACAATACCCAGCCATCCCATGAAAACCTGCTGATCTTCTCAGATATCAAATCTCATTTAGATGGAGTTGAATGATCAGCACCTGAAGAGGTCTTAACCTGAGCCCTCAATAGATTTTAATGTATATGCAGTCAATCATTTTGTCTGTCCCTAGATATAAATCCTTGTCCATACTGAGATTTTACAACAAGCCCAACTTCAGACATAGTTAGGATGCTGTTTTGCAGATTTGGCTACCTTCACTTCTTCCTTGGGGTAGGAATCCTGCAGCATCAGTGAGTCCCTCCTACAGATGGGGTGAGTGTGAGGGGGCTCTGGGCACTGGTGGGGGAGGGACAGTGGACAGTGTCATTTGCTCCCAGCTTGCCATGATGGAGAGCAGCGCATCTGCAGATTCATAGCTTGCGAGGCACTCAGCGCAATCATTCCAATGTTGCCGGTGAAATATGTCCTTCCCGTGCATTGCTAATGTGAGCCAAGCAGATGGCACGGCAGCCATTAAAGGTATAAATAACGGGCACCGCGGTCTGCCTGGCATGGGGAATGGGTGCCGCTCTCTGCCACCTGGGCTGAGCCTAGCAGGGAAAGGGCGACACCTAATGGCCGCCCAAGGCGGAGCAGCAACACAAGTTGCGCTGAGTGTAGTTTTTAGCTGGGATTTTCCCATCTGCAATGGGTGCTGGAATACAGCAGAAACCCCTTGCTCAGCCCGCAGGCTCTAATCATATTCAACATAAATAATGCCTTTGTATATTAAGAAGCTTTCTGAGAGGTATGACTTATGGATCTGATGATTAGACAGAATTGGTGATAGAAAGAACAGAGTTATGTCGTAACCATAGAAGAAGAGGCAAATTTATAATTGTACTTATAACTGCTGTAAAGATTGGAAGCTACTTCATTGTATCTTTTATCTTTCTTTTCTTTCTTCTACTTTTCTTTCTTTTCTTTCTTGCACGTTTACCTTTCTCTTTAATTTCTCTTTTGTTTCTCTTGCTTTGTATTAGTTTGTATTAGTTTTTATTTTCCTGTAAATATCTTTTAAGAATAAAACCGTATACATACGGTATAGGGCAGTGATGGCGAACTTTTTAGACACTTAGCGCCCAAACTGTGCATGCGCGCATGCCCAAACTGAAAGGCATGTACACATGCACGCACAGACACATATATGTGTGGACATGCGCACATGTGGACATGTGTATGCATGGACATGCGCAGATGTGCACATGTGCAGACATGCGCAGATATACACATGCATGCAGGCATGTGCACCTGTGGAGCAAAGACCCAAAGACCAGCTGGCCGGCAGGAGGCGGGGCATCCCAACACCGGCAGTGCAGCAATAGGTAAGATCTTTTTTCTTTCGTGAGCTTCTGTTTCGTCATTTGCAGGGAAACAGAAGCTCATGAAAGAAACGCCACGGAGATCTGACCTGGGGCAACAGTGCGCGTGCTAGCAGAGAGGGCTCTGCGTGCCACCTTTGGCATGAGTGCCATAGGTTGGCCATCACGGGCATAGGGATTACAAATGACGAAAGACTGATTGAATAGAATATTGCCTATCATCAACTTTCCTACCTTTGAAATATGATTCTTGGTCTCCTTCCATCGTAGTTGTCATCATCATCATCTATGAAATCCATCACATATCTTATAACAGTAACAGAGTTGGAAGGGACCTTGGAGATCATCTAGTCCAACCCCCTACTCAGGCAGGAGACTTGTACTAGATAGATGGTTTGATTTTTTTTACCTTCCCATCAATATGGACTCCAGGTGACTGCCTGAATCAGTCCCTGCAGTTTTCTTGGCTAGGTTATTGAGAAGTGGTTTGCCCTTGCCTGCTTGCTGGGGGTGAAGAGAGAGGACATGGTCCAAGATCATCCAGTTGGCCTTGTGCCTAAGGCAGGACTAGCTGCATGTAATTTTTGCAAACGTCTATGGAGATTCTCAATCATCCAGGTCATGGTTGTCCCAAAGGTGCTTTTTCAAGAGGCAACTGGACTTTCTGGTTTTGTCTTTGAAGATGTTTTGCTTCTCATCCAAGAAGCTTCTTCAGCTCTGTAATTTTTGCAAGATATGAAAGTCATATAGGCAGGAAGGCTAGCCCATTTCACATGGGTGGTGATTGGAAGTGCAGCTCTTTGTTGGGAACACACAAACCTCTTGGAGATC